TTTTCTTTGCCTCTCAGATCAAATCTGATTGAATAAGTTCCTTGGTTCGTTAAAGTAAAAATCCAGTAATTTCCTAAGAAAATAAGAAACTTTATTTAATTTTGTTTCCAAATTATCATTGCAAAATAAAAAAAGCCAATTAATTAAAATCAACAATAATAACTGTCATAATTAGCTAGAAAATTAAAATTTTGTGAATAAAAACTACCAACATTTATCGTGGATTTCAGTTTTTTTAAGTAAACAGTGTGAAAGTTAACATTTTAATATTTATTATATATGATACTCTATACATATTTTACATCATTTACTTCTATCATAGTTTTATACAAGTGACATTACTATATCATCATACCCAGCCAAAAATCTTTCTCTATGTCTCCAAACCCCATTTTGTATTCTTGCCATGATTTGTAGAAGTAATCTGTGGGGTTTCCATAATCCCCTCGTCTCTGGATCACCTACAGCGTCAGTAGAACTTGTTTATATAGATCTAACTGAAGTGATTCAAAAATCAGAAAATTCTAAAAATGACCTTTGAACTTTATTGTTTTATTTTTACATTGTAAGAATGGAATAAGCAATAGAATCGAAACCTGTATCCTCGGTTGCATTGAGAAACCTAAACTAATAAACAGTAGTTATAGTAATCTCAGATATTTATTCACCATCATTGACCAAAAGAATTAATTTCTATTTTCAGATTCCTTTACTAAGTAACTGACCAATAAACAGTGAAGTAATATTCTCAAAATGTTCCTCTTATTAAAGATTTACGTCTCGTCACAATACGTCCTTTCCTTAAGTTATTAGAAACTAAGAAAAACTTTGATAATATAATTTCTTGGTCTTCCTTGATATTTCCTTAGTTTTTGATTTCCTTCAGAAGAGAATATAATGTTCTAGTCTAGAAAAATGTTAAAATTTCATTTTTAGTTATTTCAACAAATAGATGAGAAGTAACAGAAATTGCTTAAAGACGGTATCCTTTTATAGGAAACACTTCAATTCATGATAGGATATCTCTATATCTCTACCAGATACTTGGTTTATATCACTATATCCATCTTTGTTTACAGATGTTATACAGTATACAAACATTCGTTGTAAACTATGACAAAAAAAATTATTTTAACAAAATACGAGTTATAATTATTTCCAATTCCCACTTACTGTCCAGCCTCCTCCATCAGTGTCCATATCACAATAAACATCAATACTTCCTGTAAACATCCATGACTTTGGCCAGATACGGTACACTCCACTAGTACGGTGTCCATTAAGTAAAACATCTGTACAGTCTGTTGGTCCAGGAGAGGTTGGAAGACATTCCAGCTCTTGTGAATATAAGGCATATAAAATGGAATTTACATAAGTTCACAAAGAAATAATAATAAAATATGTTTACAAAATAATTCTAGACACTTGACAACATAAAAATAAATAAATCTTAACTGAAGTGTTTTGCTGTAATTAAAATATTGACAGAAATTTTGTATTACAAAATATTTTAACATAAAGTGTTTATGTTCAACTATTTACATGATTTAGATTTTAACAGACAAGTAAAGTAAACGATCACTTACCATCGCTGTGTATTTGCTGTTTAGCTTGTGTAAGAAGTAAATTGATTGAATCCAGTACAGTTGATACTGATGTCAGTTTACATTGGTCGAAGTTCGTCTCTATCTGACAGGTCTGATGAACCAGAAGAAGAATCATCATAGGTTTGATACTGATCATCATTTGGTAAATTTCATGTCTCTTCATCTGGAAAAATATGAAATCCGTTAAAAGTTATCATTTATGAGATATTATTGAAACAATACTTAGAGGTTACCTTGTATTATATAATCATATTTGTTTATCTATCTACACATCGCTTCTAATGTCAATAAGTCTTGTTTGTTTTGTTTTGTTGTTTTCTTACAGTAAGATAAACAACATTGTAAAAGTTTGTTTCTAATACAAAAAAGTTTATGAAATATGTAGTAAACTGACTGTAGTAGTAAACTGATTGTAGTGAACTGACTGTAGTAGTAAACTGATTGTAGTAAACCTACTGTAATAGTAAACTGATTGTAGTAAACTGACTGTAGTAGTAAACTGATTGTAGTAAACTGACTGTAATAGTAAACTGATTGTAGTAAACTGACTGTAGTAGTAAACTGATTGTAGTAAACTGACTGTAGTAAACTGACTGTAGTAAACCTACTGTAATAATAAACTGACTGTAGTAAACCTACTGTAATAGTAAACTGATTGTAGTGAAATGACTGTAGTAGTAAACTGATTGTAGTAAACTGACTGTAGTAAACCTACTGTAATAATAAACTGACTGTAGTAAACCTACTGTAATAATAAACTGATTGTAGTAAACTGACTGTAGTAGTAAACTGATCGTAGTAAACTGACTGTAGTAAACTGACTGTAGTAAACCTACTGTAATAATAAACTGACTGTAGTAAACCTACTGTAATAGTAAACTGATTGTAGAAAACTGACTGTAGTGAACTGACTGTAGTAAACTGACTGTAGTAAACCTACTGTAATAATAAACTGACTGTAGTAAACCTACTGTAATAATAAACTGATTGTAGTGAAATGACTGTAGTAGTAAACTGATTGTAGTAAACTGACTGTAGTAAACCTACTGTAATAGTAAACTGATTGTAGTGAAATGACTGTAGTAGTAAACTGATTGTAGTAAACCTACTGTAATAGTAAACTGATTGTAGAAAACTGACTGTAGTAGTAAACTGATTGTAGTAAACTGACTGTAGTAAACTGACTGTAGTAAACCTACTGTAATAATAAACTGACTGTAGTAAACCTATTGTAATAATAAACTGATTGTAGTGAAATGACTGTAGTAGTAAACTGATTGTAGTAAACTGACTGTAGTAAACCTACTGTAATAGTAAACTGATTGAGAAAACTGACTGTAGTGAACTGACTGTAGTAGTAAACTGATTGTAGTAAACTGATTGTAGTGAACTGACTGTAGTAGTAAACTGATTGTAGTAAACTGACTGAAGTAAAGTGACTGACTTTGTGATAGTTAATATTTATTTAAAGTTTTATTTGTATCTAAACTGTCATACTAACAAGAGTTATGAATCTAACATGTGTTTTATAAAGCAACTAATTGTTGACAAAATAATTAGATAATTTCTTAGTTCTAAATAATCTTTAGAAAACTGTATTTGTGTTTTTTCCCTTTTGGGTTAAATAAGAATTTTTTTTAAATTCAAATTATAACGTTCAATGTTTTAATCATTGTTTACACTTACCTTTAATAAACACAGTACTAAAAGTAAAGGAAGAACTGCTACAATGTTGGTGATGTTTTACTGTAGTTCAATATTTATATTTAATGTTGACCAACATCACTTCAGAGAAGAATGTTGGTTACATTATGTATTAATATCAAATTATCAGAAGTTTCGTTTAACTGTAAGTAACTTAACGCTAAGTGTCAGAAGATTGTTCTCTCTAGTTACTCGTCTTCTTGATAACTATTCCAGCACTCTGAGCACGAGGCTACTACGTGCAAGCTTAACACGTGCTACCGAGAAGTGAATTAAACTTGGTTCTATTTAGACAGATAAACCTATAAAAGTGTGTGGTTCGTTTTAAGGACCAGATTAGCGACGTTCAAGGTCGGACACTTTAAGGTTGTCTGGAAATTTTCACTAAGCCTAGACATTACTTCTATTTTTAATTTTAACAAACGCGTTTGAGAAAATACAGAATTAAATAAATAAAATATATAAATAAATTATAAAATTGAATAAACGATTTTATTGTCAGACATCTTAAATAGTTTGAAATAGTTTTTCAAATGATAATTTTCAAAGAGTTTCTTCGATATACTTCTTAGAAAAAATCTAAAAATGAACTTTGAACTTCATTGTTTTATTTTTACATTGTAAGAATGGAATAAATGGAATGGAATTAGATAATAAACTAACTTTGATTACTACGTCACCAGATGCATAAAGTCAACGACAGGCATAATTATAAAATTCACTTTAAATGTAACAATAAATCATTGTTATGTAGGTAGAGAAAAAGCCTAACAATTAAGAAAATACTGTTGATTATCAAACAAAAACTTTTAATGGCTGGAGATGGCTTGAATGGGTAATGAAGAAAAACTTTAATACAACAGCAAATGTACAACGTTTCGACAAGGTTTTGATGATGACAAACCCTTGTCGAAACGTTGTACATTT